AATTTTTTTTTGTTAACCAGGCGCCCGAATTTGTTAGGGTTTCCGGGTTTTCGGTTCCTAAGGATCCTGGGAATTCATTTAAGGCGGTTATTGGGTTTGCAAAACTTATAATATCTCGTTCCAAGTTTCGGTTTTGGGCAGGTTTACCGTTTAGGTCAATGTTTTTTTGAAGCTTCGCAGGTTTTTTGGGGAATAGCCTTTTAACGGGGGGTTATGTCCCTCGCTAAGTGGTGGTTGGTCAATTGGTCATTTAAAAGATTAAAGACACCATTTGTTTTCCTCCCCCGAGGCAGAATATATTGCTGTTAGTGAAGCTGTTAAGAAATTGAATGGTTTAGTGATCTTACTATTGTTATGGATCTCACACTAAACAAAACAAAATTATATGTTGACAATGAACCAGCAATTAAGTTAAGTAAGAATCCAGTAATGCATCCAAGAACTAAACATATCGCACTGAGATATCACAAAATCAGACATGCAGTGGAACAGGATATTGTTGATTTGGAATATGTTAATACAAAAGACCAACAGGCTGATATCCTAACTAAAATTTTAGCTAAATCCCAATTTGAAACCTTAAGAGATGAATTAGTCTCAAATTTAACTACTTAATAAATTAACATACAGAATTAATTTATTATGGAAAGCTTGCATCTAAAGCTTCCGGGGGGCTGTTGGATTCTGGGAATCAGTAGATGACAATCTTAAGTTATCCAGATCTAACCCTATGTCTGAAAGATATACTTTGCTGACAGGAACACATTCAGGGTAACTGTTAGTTTTCAAAAGGTATATAAGCAGACCAGATTTCAAGTTTCTAGAAAATATTTTCTCTTTTCTAATGTTCACTTTATGAACTAAATTATATTTTATATTTTGTATACTATATTTAGAATTTATAAAAAACCAAGAGCTTGAATAAACAACTAACGTATAATTGTACTTATACCTTAGATCTCAGTTAATATATCCACTATCACTCCAGTACAACCATGTCCCACCCTGATCAACAGTCCAATAACACTCACCTATTCCAATCTCAAGAAATAGGTGCCGTCCTGGTTTCGAACCTGCGCAAACACTCTTCTCTTTATTACATATTAATATAAATAATTTTACAATTTTTAGTTCAAAATACAATTTTATATTTTGTAATATTTTTTCTTATATGAGTTTCTTTGTTATCCAACTGATAATAAATAATATTTATAGCACTAAATATAAAACTAACAAAACATAAATCTCATCATTTTGAATTTTTTTGTCAGGAATATTAAATATTAATGTATTAATGTATTTATATAGGGAAAGAAGCCTTAGATATAATTACTTAAGGTTATTAGTTAAAAGATATATGAGGTTATCAAACTATTATAATAACTATACAGTAATATTAAATATATAAATATTTTTATCCCTTTGTACTTAAGCGTAATCAATACCAAATCCTTATCACATAAGGATGTCATAAATTATATCACCGTGTTTTTAATAGAGGTGCAGTTATACCTAAATAGTAAGGTTACTGCGATTCAATGGAATAATTAGAATAACAATTGCCAAAACTAGCTTCAGTTACATTTATTGCTATAAAGAGTTATTATTGTATATTATTGTATATTAGTGTATATTATTGTATATTATTTAGTATGCTAACTTGCATATAAAGAAAACATCAGTAACATTATTAATTAGTAGTATATTTACTCTCTAATACAGATCTCCACATTAAGTTTCTCTAGAATACATGAATAACAGACTTTATTCTAATGTACACCAAATTAACTATACAACTATATAATAATTAAAACTTACCAAATACCGACCAAACAATACATCACAGATAGACAGTATAATAATGCATCCACTGACTCTCTAATATAATATGCTTGATTCAATTTGTAATCTATATTTACTTAAATAAAAGTGATTTAAGTGACATTAACTTTTTCTAAGACATGCCAAAGCAAAAAGGATACCAACCACCAATTTAGTCACTATTATAGTTTTAAGAAGGGGTACATTATTACTTTATATACAACTCTCAAATTTAAATGCATACTATAGCTACATGATATTCATATTCTGGTGTATTAATACTTCACTTTGACATATTTTATATTTAAATATTATTAACTTAATAAACATTTAATAATATGATTGGTATTGTAAAAGATGTTTCGCCCACTGCTCATTTCAATACCAAATAATATGTAATAATGTATTTATTTTAACAATAATATCCTTAATGCATAGAAAGAAAGAACTCAGATGATATATAGACAGTTGAATATTTATAAATATCATATTGATTTCACAAAAATAATAATAATAGAAACACTGAACACAAATTATTTAACCCAACATCAAATTCCATTTGATTTATTAAATTATATAACATTATCAAGTTCATAAAATGTTATACACTAGTATATGTCGACTCAAATTCGAAACTGAGAAGGAGTAATTAACAGTTTCGAGGTTGTAATTCATTATTATAAGCTCTATTATTGGAACGCTAATCCTTGTATTATATTTAATTATAGAAGGATTAGATAGAGGGTATGAATAGTTTCATTAAAATTAAAAGATATCTTTTTATATAGCTTAAACATTTCATCTAATTATTCTAATTAGATGCTGGTTATTCTGGTCTGCTGGGTTGATGGTCATATTTCTAATACTGAACATATTCCAATACACAAAATTTCATACAATTTAATGGTATAGGTTCCAACGAGTTATTGTTTCTTAAAATAAGTTCAATTTGTTATACCATTTTCATGTTGAAATATGGTTAGCATTAGAAACAAGCCAGCAAATCAGCATCTAATTAGAATAATTAGATGCTATCCTTAAGCTATATAAAGGGATAGTTTTCTATCTTAATGAAACTGAGAAGCAGTAATTAACAGTTTCGAAGTTGTCATTCTTTTGTTGATCCATTATTGTAAGCTATATTATTGGGACGTTAATTCTTATATTATATTGTATTATACAGTACTATGTATATATATTAGATAGAGGATACGAATAGTTTTATTAAGATAGAAAAATATCCCTTTATATAGCATAAACCTTTCATCTAATAAAACAAGAACAGTATTTTAATATGGATCTGATGAAAAACAGCCACTTCTCTAAATTTAAATCTAATAAAATAACACAAAAAATATATATTGTCTTGATTATTTATACAATATTTGAAAAAATTAACGAACTAAAAACTGTAGTTATAAATTAGAAATAGACTAAACCAAAATTGCCAAAACAATCATACCAATCAAACCGGATAAGGAATTGCTTATCTTACGTGATAAACCTGCACCTTCATAAGTAGAAGAAATACCTACAGTAGCAGATGGGTTATATCCAGAAGATGTGACATCATCAGTGACAAAAATATTCAAATCTGAAGATACGGCCGTCATAGAGCTACCTGATGGAACTAATGTAGTTACACTTTGTGTATTAGAATTTGGAACTGATGAGGTCGTACTTGTAGTATTATCTGCTTTGTCGGTTGAAGTAATGTGAGTAGCAGTATTGTCTGTTGGGTTAGTAGTCTCACTAGCAACAGAAGCTGGTGGAACTGATGAGGTTGTACTTGTAGTATTATCTGCTGGGTCGGTTGAAGTAATGTGAGTAAAAATGTTGTCTGTTGGGTCGTTTGAAGTAATGTGAGTAGCAGTATTGTCTGTTAGGTTAGTAGTCTCACTAGCAGCAGAAGATGGTGGAACTGATGAGGTTATAACAGTTGTGTGACGTGCAGAGTCGGTTGAAGTGATGTGAGTAGAAGTGTTGTCTGTTGGGTTAGTAGTCTCACTAGCAACAGAAGCTGGTGGAACTGATGAGGTTGTACTTGTAGTATTATCTGCTGGGTCGGTTGAAGTAATGTGAGTAGAAATGTTGTCTGCTGGGTCGTTGGGAGTAATGTGAGTAGCAGTATTGTCCGTTAGGTTAGTAGTCTCACTAGCAGCAGTAGATGATGGAATTGATGGGGTTATAACAATTTTATGGCTAGAAATAATTAGTATAGTAACATCATTGACTGTTTTGTCCGAACTATTATTTTCTGTTGCTGTAGGAGTCTCCCTAGCAATAGGAGAGCTCATAAATGAGGTTCTAACGTTTGACAAATTCTCTGGAATCGATCCAATTATATCAGTGGATTTATGTACTGATTCAACATTAGTTGAAGATGTCACATCGCAAGAAGTGCATATTAAATTACTGGATATTGGATTGGCATTTGAAGATTTATGATTTGTAAATACAGAGTCTGTCTCTCCGCTGGAAGATTTACTCAGTATGGTGGCAGTACCATCAGCATTCACTGAATAATGTCTCAAAATAATAACAGTACTTGATACACAACTTTCAACAGGTGCGCTACGAATTCCACTGTTACTACTAATAACAAAATCTAAACTTTTACTTAAAACAACAACGGAAGACACATTAAAATATCCTACTGCAGGATCATACAATGAAACTCTCTGGACCTGGGATTCATAGAAGGTATTATAAAACGATACAACTTCTGTAGCAGTAGATGATCCTGATACTACTTCGGTTGTGTAAACAGCTGGATCAGATAGAGGACCTAGGGTGTAGGTGGTAGAAGCCACCACTTCGTCACCAGAGGAATTGGTGGTGCTGTAGAAGGATACGACTTCGGTAGCAGTAGATGATCCTGATACTACTTCGGTTGTGTAAACAGCTGGAACTGATAGAGAACCTAGGGTGTAGGTGGTAGAAACCACAACTTCGTCACCAGCGGAATTGGTGGTGCTGTAGAAGGATACGACTTCGGTAGCAGTAGATGATCCTGATACTACTTCGGTTGTGTAAACAGCTGGAACTGATAGAGAACCTAGGGTGTAAGTGGTAGAAACCACAACTTCGTCACCAGCGGAATTGGTGGTGCTGTAGAAGGATACGACTTCGGTAGCAGTAGATGATCCTGATACTACTTCGGTTGTGGAAGCAGCTGGAACTGATAGAGGACCTTGGGTGTAAGTGGTAGAAACCACAACTTCGTCACCAGCGGAATTGGTGGTGCTGTAGAAGGATACGACTTCGGTAGCAGTAGATGATCCTGATACTACTTCGGTTGTGGAAGCAGCTGGATCAGATAGAGGACCTAGGGTGTAGGTGGTAGAAGCCACCACTTCGTCACCAGCGGAATTGGTGGTGCTGTAGAAGGATACGACTTCGGTAACAGTAGATGATCCTGATACTACTTCGGTTGTGGAAGCAGCTGGAACTGATAGAGGACCTAGGGTGTAGGTGGTAGAAGCCACCACTTCGTCACCAGCGGAATTGGTGGTGCTGTAGAAGGATACGACTTCGGTAACAATAGATGATCCTGATACTACTTCGGTTGTGGAAGCAACTGGAACAGATAGAGGTCCTAGGGTGTAGGTGGTAGAAGCCAGAACTTCGTCACCAGCGGAATTGGTGGTGCTGTAGAAGGATACGACTTCGGTAACAGTAGATGATCCTGATACTACTTCGGTTGTGGAAGCAGCTGGAACTGATAGAGGACCTAGGGTGTAGGTGGTAGAAGCCACCACTTCGTCACCAGCGGAATTGGTGGTGCTGTAGAAGGATACGACTTCGGTAGCAGTAGATGATCCTGATACTACTTCGGTTGTGGAAGCAGCTGGATCAGATAGAGGACCTAGGGTGTAAGTGGTAGAAACCAGAACTTCGTCACCAGCGGGATTGGTGGTGCTGTAGAAGGAGATCACTTCAGTAACAGTAGATGATCCTGATACTACTTCGGTTGTGGAAGCAGCTGGAACAAATAGCGGTCCTAGGGTGTAGGTGGTAGAAGCCACCACTTCGTCACCGGCGGAATTGGTGGTGCTGTAGAAGGAGATCACTTCGGTAACAGTAGATGATCCTGATACTATTTCGGTTGTGGAAGCAGCTGGATCAGATAGAGGTCCTAGGGTGTAGGTGGTAGAAGCCAGAACTTCGTCACCAGCGGAATTGGTGGTGCTGTAGAAGGAGATCACTTCAGTAGCAGTAGATGATCCTGATACTACTTCGGTTGTGGAAGCAGCTGGAACTGATAGAGGTACTGGGGTGTAGGTGGTAGAAACCAGAACTTCGTCACCAGCGGAATTGGTGGTGCTGTAGAAGGATACGACTTCAGTAACAATAGATGATCCTGATACTACTTCGGTTGTGGAAGCAACTGGAACAGATAGAGGTCCTAGGGTGTAGGTGGTAGAAGCCAGAACTTCGTCACCAGCGGAATTGGTGGTGCTGTAGAAGGATACGACTTCGGTAACAGTAGATGATCCTGATACTACTTCGGTTGTGGAAGCAGCTGGAACTGATAGAGGACCTAGGGTGTAGGTGGTAGAAGCCACCACTTCGTCACCAGCGGAATTGGTGGTGCTGTAGAAGGATACGACTTCGGTAGCAGTAGATGATCCTGATACTACTTCGGTTGTGGAAGCAGCTGGATCAGATAGAGGACCTAGGGTGTAAGTGGTAGAAACCAGAACTTCGTCACCAGCGGAATTGGTGGTGCTGTAGAAGGAGATCACTTCAGTAACAATAGATGATCCTGATACTACTTCGCTTGTGGAAGCAGCTGGAACTGATAGAGGACCTAGGGTGTAGGTGGTAGAAACCAGAACTTCGTCACCAGCGGAATTGGTGGTGCTGTAGAAGGATACGACTTCGGTAACAGTAGATGATCCTGATACTACTTCGGTTGTGGAAGCAGCTGGAACTGATAGAGGACCTAGGGTGTAGGTGGTAGAAGCCACCACTTCGTCACCAGCGGAATTGGTGGTGCTGTAGAAGGATACGACTTCGGTAGCAGTAGATGATCCTGATACTACTTCGGTTGTGTAAACAGCTGGAACAGATAGGGGACCTAGGGTGTAGGTGGTAGAAACCAGAACTTCGTCACCAGCGGAATTGGTGGTGCTGTAGAAGGAGATCACTTCAGTAACAGTAGATGATCCTGATACTACTTCGGTTGTGGAAGCAGCTGGAACTGATAGAGGACCTAGGGTGTAGGTGATAGAAACCACAACTTCGTCACCAGCGGAATTGGTGGTGCTGTAGAAGGATACGACTTCAGTAACAATAGATGATCCTGATACTACTTCGGTTGTGGAAGCAGCTGGAACTGATAGAGGTCCTGGGGTGTAGGTGATAGAAACCAGAACTTCGTCACCAGCGGGATTAGTGGTGCTGTAGAAGGAGATCACTTCAGTAACAGTAGATGATCCTGATACTACTTCGGTTGTGGAAGCAGCTGGAACTGATAGCGGTCCTAGGGTGTAGGTGGTAGAAACCAGAACTTCGTCACCAGCGGAATTGGTGGTGCTGTAGAAGGAAATCACTTCGGTAGCAGTAGATGATCCTGATACTACTTCGGTTGTGGAAGCAACTGGAACAGATAGAGGACCTAGGGTGTAGGTGGTAGAAACCAGAACTTCGTCACCAGCGGAATTGGTGGTGCTGTAGAAGTATACGACTTCAGTAGCAGTAGATGATCCTGATACTACTTCGGTTGTGGAAGCAGCTGGAACTGATAGCGGTAGTAAGGTGTAAGTGGTAGAAACCAGAACTTCGTCACCAGCGGAATTGGTGGTGCTGTAGAAGGATACTACTTCGGTAGCAGTAGATGATCCTGATACTACTTCGGTTGTGTAAACAGCTGGAACTGATAGAGGTACTGGGGTGTAGGTGGTAGAAACCAGAACTTCGTCACCAGCGGAATTGGTGGTGCTGTAGAAGGATACGACTTCAGTAACAATAGATGATCCTGATACTACTTCGGTTGTGGAAGCAACTGGAACAGATAGAGGACCTAGGGTGTAAGTGGTAGAAACCAGAACTTCGTCACCAGCGGGATTGGTGGTGCTGTAGAAGGATACGACTTCGGTAGCAGTAGATGATCCTGATACTACTTCGGTTGTGGAAGCAGCTGGAACTGATAGCGGTCCTAGGGTGTAGGTGGTAGGAACCAGAACTTCGTCACCAGCGGAATTGGTGGTGCTGTAGAAGGAGATCACTTCAGTAACAGTAGATGATCCTGATACTATTTCGGTTGTGGAAGCAGCTGGATCAGATAGAGGTCCTAGGGTGTAGGTGGTAGAAACCAGAACTTCGTCACCAGCGGAATTGGTGGTGCTGTAGAATGATACGACTTCGGTAGCAGTAGATGATCCTGATACTACTTCGGTTGTGGAAGCAGCTGGAACTGATAGCGGTCCTAGGGTGTAGGTGGTAGAAGCCACCACTTCGTCACCGGCGGAATTGGTGGTGCTGTAGAAGGAGATCACTTCAGTAACAGTAAATGATCCTGATACTATTTCGGTTGTGGAAGCAGCTGGATCAGATAGAGGTCCTAGGGTGTAGGTGGTAGAAGCCAGAACTTCGTCACCAGCGGAATTGGTGGCGCTGTAGAAGGAGATCACTTCGGTAGCAGTAGATGATCCTGATACTACTTCGGTTGTGTAAACAGCTGGAACAGATAGAGAACCTAGGGTGTAGGTGGTAGAAGCCACCACTTCGTCACCAGCGGAATTGGTGGTGCTGTAGAAGGATACGACTTCGGTAGCAGTAGATGATCCTGATACTACTTCGGTTGTGTAAACAGCTGGAACAGATAGGGGACCTAGGGTGTAGGTGGTAGAAACCAGAACTTCGTCACCAGCGGAATTGGTGGTGCTGTAGAAGGAGATCACTTCAGTAACAGTAGATGATCCTGATACTACTTCGGTTGTGGAAGCAGCTGGAACTGATAGAGGACCTAGGGTGTAGGTGGTAGAAACCAGAACTTCGTCACCAGCGGAATTGGTGGTGCTGTAGAAGTATACGACTTCAGTAGCAGTAGATGATCCTGATACTACTTCGGTTGTGGAAGCAGCTGGAACTGATAGCGGTAGTAAGGTGTAAGTGGTAGAAACCAGAACTTCGTCACCAGCGGAATTGGTGGTGCTGTAGAAGGATACTACTTCGGTAGCAGTAGATGATCCTGATACTACTTCGGTTGTGTAAACAGCTGGAACTGATAGAGGACCTAGGGTGTAGGTGGTAGAAGCCACAACTTCGTCACCAGCGGAATTGGTGGTGCTGTAGAAGGATACGACTTCTGTAGCAGTAGATGATCCTGATACTACTTCGCTTGTGTAAACAGCTGGAACTGATAGAGGACCTAGGGTGTAGGTGGTAGAAGCCACAACTTCGTCACCAGCGGAATTGGTGGTGCTGTAGAAGGATACGACTTCGGTAGCAGTAGATGATCCTGATACTACTTCGGTTGTGTAAGCAGCTGGAACTGATAGAGGACCTAGGGTGTAGGTGGTAGAAACCAGAACTTCGTCACCAGCGGAATTGGTGGTGCTGTAGAAGGATACGACTTCTGTAGCAGTAGATGATCCTGATACTACTTCGGTTGTGTAAACAGCTGGAACTGATAGAGGATCTAGGGTGTAGGTGGTAGAAACCAGAACTTCGTCACCAGCGGAATTGGTGGTGCTGTAGAAGGAAACGACTTCGGTAACGGTAGATGATCCTGATACTACTTCGGTTGTGTAAACAGCTGGAACTGATAGAGGACCTAGGGTGTAGGTGGTAGAAGCCACAACTTCGTCACCAGCGGAATTGGTGGTGCTGTAGAAGGATACGACTTCTGTAGCAGTAGATGATCCTGATACTACTTCGGTTGTGTAAACAGCTGGAACTGATAGAGGACCTAGGGTGTAGGTGGTAGAAGCCACAACTTCGTCACCAGCGGAATTGGTGGTGCTGTAGAAGGAAACGACTTCTGTAGCAGTAGATGATCCTGATACTACTTCGGTTGTGTAAACAGCTGGAACTGATAGAGGACCTAGGGTGTAAGTGGTAGAAGCCACAACTTCGTCACCAGCGGAATTGGTGGTGCTGTAGAAGGAAACGACTTCTGTAGCAGTAGATGATCCTGATACTACTTCGGTTGTGTAAACAGCTGGAACTGATAGAGGATCTAGGGTGTAGGTGGTAGAAACCAGAACTTCGTCACCAGCGGAATTGGTGGTGCTGTAGAAGGAAACGACTTCGGTAACGGTAGATGATCCTGATACTACTTCGGTTGTGTAAACAGCTGGAACTGATAGAGGACCTAGGGTGTAGGTGGTAGAAACCAGAACTTCGTCACCAGCGGAATTGGTGGTGCTGTAGAAGGAAACGACTTCTGTAGCAGTAGATGATCCTGATACTACTTCGGTTGTGTAAACAGCTGGAACTGATAGAGGATCTAGGGTGTAGGTGGTAGAAACCAGAACTTCGTCACCAGCGGAATTGGTGGTGCTGTAGAAGGAAACGACTTCTGTAGCAGTAGATGATCCTGATACTACTTCGGTTGTGTAAACAGCTGGAACTGATAGAGGACCTAGGGTGTAGGTGGTAGAAGCCACAACTTCGTCACCAGCGGAATTGGTGGTGCTGTAGAAGGATACGACTTCTGTAGCAGTAGATGATCCTGATACTACTTCGGTTGTGTAAACAGCTGGAACTGATAGAGGACCTAGGGTGTAGGTGGTAGAAGCCACAACTTCGTCACCAGCGGAATTGGTGGTGCTGTAGAAGGATACGACTTCTGTAGCAGTAGATGATCCTGATACTACTTCGGTTGTGTAAACAGCTGGAACTGATAGAGGACCTAGGGTGTAGGTGGTAGAAGCCACAACTTCGTCACCAGCGGAATTGGTGGTGCTGTAGAAGGAAACGACTTCGGTAACGGTAGATGATCCTGATACTACTTCGGTTGTGTAAACAGCTGGAACTGATAGAGGATCTAGGGTGTAGGTGGTAGAAACCAGAACTTCGTCACCAGCGGAATTGGTGGTGCTGTAGAAGGAAACGACTTCGGTAACGGTAGATGATCCTGATACTACTTCACTTGTGTAAGCAGCTGGAACTGATAGAGGACCTAGGGTGTAGGTGGTAGAAGTCACAACTTCGTCACCAGCGGAATTGGTGGTGCTGTAGAAGGAAACGACTTCTGTAGCAGTAGATGATCCTGATACTACTTCGGTTGTGTAAACAGCTGGAACTGATAGAGGACCTAGGGTGTAGGTGGTAGAAGCCACAACTTCGTCACCAGCGGAATTGGTGGTGCTGTAGAAGGATACGACTTCGGTAGCAGTAGATGATCCTGATACTACTTCGGTTGTGTAAACAGCTGGAACTGATAGAGGACCTAGGGTGTAGGTGGTAGAAGCCACAACTTCGTCACCAGCGGAATTGGTGGTGCTGTAGAAGGAAACGACTTCTGTAGCAGTAGATGATCCTGATACTACTTCGGTTGTGTAAACAGCTGGAACTGATAGAGGACCTAGGGTGTAGGTGGTAGAAGCCACAACTTCGTCACCAGCGGAATTGGTGGTGCTGTAGAAGGATACGACTTCTGTAGCAGTAGATGATCCTGATACTACTTCGGTTGTGTAAACAGCTGGAACTGATAGAGGACCTAGGGTGTAGGTGGTAGAAGCCACAACTTCGTCACCAGCGGAATTGGTGGTGCTGTAGAAGGAAACGACTTCTGTAGCAGTAGATGATCCTGATACTACTTCGGTTGTGTAAACAGCTGGAACTGATAGAGGACCTAGGGTGTAGGTGGTAGAAGCCACAACTTCGTCACCAGCGGAATTGGTGGTGCTGTAGAAGGATACGACTTCTGTAGCAGTAGATGATCCTGATACTACTTCGGTTGTGTAAACAGCTGGAACTGATAGAGGACCTAGGGTGTAGGTGGTAGAAGTCAGAACTTCGTCACCAGCGGAATTGGTGGTGCTGTAGAAGGATACGACTTCTGTAGCAGTAGATGATCCTGATACTACTTCGGTTGTGTAAACAGCTGGAACTGATAGAGGACCTAGGGTGTAGGTGGTAGAAGCCACAACTTCGTCACCAGCGGAATTGGTGGTGCTGTAGAAGGAAACGACTTCGGTAACGGTAGATGATCCTGATACTACTTCGGTTGTGTAAACAGCTGGAACTGATAGAGGACCTAGGGTGTAGGTGGTAGAAGCCACAACTTCGTCACCAGCGGAATTGGTGGTGCTGTAGAAGGATACGACTTCTGTAGCAGTAGATGATCCTGATACTACTTCGGTTGTGTAAACAGCTGGAACTGATAGCGGTCCTAGGGTGTAGGTGGTAGGAACCAGAACTTCGTCACCAGCGGAATTGGTGGTGCTGTAGAAGGAGATCACTTCAGTAACAGTAGATGATCCTGATACTATTTCGGTTGTGGAAGCAGCTGGATCAGATAGAGGTCCTAGGGTGTAGGTGGTAGAAACCAGAACTTCGTCACCAGCGGAATTGGTGGTGCTGTAGAATGATACGACTTCGGTAGCAGTAGATGATCCTGATACTACTTCGGTTGTGGAAGCAGCTGGAACTGATAGCGGTCCTAGGGTGTAGGTGGTAGAAGCCACCACTTCGTCACCGGCGGAATTGGTGGTGCTGTAGAAGGAGATCACTTCAGTAACAGTAAATGATCCTGATACTATTTCGGTTGTGGAAGCAGCTGGATCAGATAGAGGTCCTAGGGTGTAGGTGGTAGAAGCCAGAACTTCGTCACCAGCGGAATTGGTGGCGCTGTAGAAGGAGATCACTTCGGTAGCAGTAGATGATCCTGATACTACTTCGGTTGTGTAAACAGCTGGAACAGATAGAGAACCTAGGGTGTAGGTGGTAGAAACCACAACTTCGTCACCAGCGGAATTGGTGGTGCTGTAGAAGGAGATCACTTCGGTAGCAGTAGATGATCCTGATACTACTTCGGTTGTGGAAGCAGCTGGAACTGATAGCGGTCCTAGGGTGTAGGTGGTAGAAACCAGAACTTCGTCACCAGCGGAATTGGTGGTGCTGTAGAAGGAGATCACTTCAGTAACAGTAGATGATCCTGATACTATTTCGGTTGTGGAAGCAGCTGGAACTGATAGAGGACCTAGGGTGTAGGTGGTAGAAACCAGAACTTCGTCACCAGCGGAATTGGTGGTGCTGTAGAAGGATACGACTTCTGTAGCAGTAGATGATCCTGATACTACTTCGGTTGTGTAAACAGCTGGAACTGATAGAGGATCTAGGGTGTAGGTGGTAGAAACCAGAACTTCGTCACCAGCGGAATTGGTGGTGCTGTAGAAGGAAACGACTTCGGTAACGGTAGATGATCCTGATACTACTTCGGTTGTGTAAACAGCTGGAACTGATAGAGGACCTAGGGTGTAGGTGGTAGAAGCCACAACTTCGTCACCAGCGGAATTGGTGGTGCTGTAGAAGGAAACGACTTCTGTAGCAGTAGATGATCCTGATACTACTTCGGTTGTGTAAACAGCTGGAACTGATAGAGGACCTAGGGTGTAGGTGGTAGAAGCCACAACTTCGTCACCAGCGGAATTGGTGGTGCTGTAGAAGGATACGACTTCTGTAGCAGTAGATGATCCTGATACTACTTCGGTTGTGTAAACAGCTGGAACTGATAGAGGACCTAGGGTGTAGGTGGTAGAAGCCACAACTTCGTCACCAGCGGAATTGGTGGTGCTGTAGAAGGAAACGACTTCTGTAGCAGTAGATGATCCTGATACTACTTCGGTTGTGTAAACAGCTGGAACTGATAGAGGACCTAGGGTGTAGGTGGTAGAAGCCACAACTTCGTCACCAGCGGAATTGGTGGTGCTGTAGAAGGATACGACTTCTGTAGCAGTAGATGATCCTGATACTACTTCACTTGTGTAAGCAGCTGGAACTGATAGAGGATCTAGGGTGTAGGTGGTAGAAACCAGAACTTCGTCACCAGCGGAATTGGTGGTGCTGTAGAAGGAAACGACTTCTGTAGCAGTAGATGATCCTGATACTACTTCGGTTGTGTAAACAGCTGGAACTGATAGAGGATCTAGGGTGTAGGTGGTAGAAACCAGAACTTCGTCACCAGCGGAATTGGTGGTGCTGTAGAAGGAAACGACTTCTGTAGCAGTAGATGATCCTGATACTACTTCGGTTGTGTAAACAGCTGGAACTGATAGAGGACCTAGGGTGTAGGTGGTAGAAACCAGAACTTCGTCACCAGCGGAATTGGTGGTGCTGTAGAAGGAAACGACTTCTGTAGCAGTAGATGATCCTGATACTACTTCGGTTGTGTAAACAGCTGGAACTGATAGAGGATCTAGGGTGTAGGTGGTAGAAACCAGAACTTCGTCACCAGCGGAATTGGTGGTGCTGTAGAAGGAAACGACTTCTGTAGCAGTAGATGATCCTGATACTACTTCGGTTGTGTAAACAGCTGGAACTGATAGAGGACCTAGGGTGTAGGTGGTAGAAGCCACAACTTCGTCACCAGCGGAATTGGTGGTGCTGTAGAAGGATACGACTTCTGTAGCAGTAGATGATCCTGATACTACTTCGGTTGTGTAAACAGCTGGAACTGATAGAGGACCTAGGGTGTAGGTGGTAGAAGCCAGAACTTCGTCACCAGCGGAATTGGTGGTGCTGTAGAAGGAAACGACTTCTGTAGCAGTAGATGATCCTGATACTACTTCGGTTGTGTAAACAGCTGGAACTGATAGAGGACCTAGGGTGTAAGTGGTAGAAGCCACAACTTCGTCACCAGCGGAATTGGTGGTGCTGTAGAAGGAAACGACTTCTGTAGCAGTAGATGATCCTGATACTACTTCGGTTGTGTAAACAGCTGGAACTGATAGAGGACCTAGGGTGTAGGTGGTAGAAGCCACAACTTCGTCACCAGCGGAATTGGTGGTGCTGTAGAAGGATACCACTTCTGTAGCAGTAGATGATCCTGATACTACTTCGGTTGTGTAAACAGCTGGAACTAATAGAGGACCTAGGGTGTAGGTGGTAGAAACCACAACTTCGTCACCAGCGGAATTGGTGGTACTGTAGAAGGATACGACTTCTGTAGCAGTAGATGATCCTGATACTACTTCGGTTGTGTAAACAGCTGGAACTGATAGAGGATCTAGGGTGTAGGTGGTAGAAACCAGAACTTCGTCACCAGCGGAATTGGTGGTGCTGTAGAAGGAAACGACTTCGGTAACGGTAGATGATCCTGATACTACTTCGGTTGTGTAAACAGCTGGAACTGATAGAGGACCTAGGGTGTAGGTGGTAGAAGCCACAACTTCGTCACCAGCGGAATTGGTGGTGCTGTAGAAGGAAACGACTTCTGTAGCAGTAGATGATCCTGATACTACTTCGGTTGTGTAAACAGCTGGAACTGATAGAGGACCTAGGGTGTAGGTGGTAGAAGCCACAACTTCGTCACCAGCGGAATTGGTGGTGCTGTAGAAGGAAACGACTTCTGTAGCAGTAGATGATCCTGATACTACTTCGGTTGTGTAAACAGCTGGAACTGATAGAGGATCTAGGGTGTAGGTGGTAGAAACCAGAACTTCGTCACCAGCGGAATTGGTGGTGCTGTAGAAGGAAACGACTTCTGTAGCAGTAGATGATCCTGATACTACTTCGGTTGTGTAAACAGCTGGAACTGATAGAGGACCTAGGGTGTAGGTGGTAGAAACCAGAACTTCGTCACCAGCGGAATTGGTGGTGCTGTAGAAGGAAACGACTTCTGTAGCAGTAGATGATCCTGATACTACTTCGGTTGTGTAAACAGCTGGAACTGATAGAGGATCTAGGGTGTAGGTGGTAGAAACCAGAACTTCGTCACCAGCGGAATTGGTGGTGCTGTAGAAGGAAACGACTTCTGTAGCAGTAGATGATCCTGATACTACTTCGGTTGTGTAAACAGCTGGAACTGATAGAGGACCTAGGGTGTAGGTGGTAGAAGCCACAACTTCGTCACCAGCGGAATTGGTGGTGCTGTAGAAGGAAACGACTTCTGTAGCAGTAGATGATCCTGATACTACTTCGGTTGTGTAAACAGCTGGAACTGATAGAGGACCTAGGGTGTAGGTGGTAGAAGCCACAACTTCGTCACCAGCGGAATTGGTGGTGCTGTAGAAGGATACGACTTCTGTAGCAGTAGATGATCCTGATACTACTTCGCTTGTGTAAGCAGCTGGAACTGATAGAGGACCTAGGGTGTAGGTGGTAGAAGCCACAACTTCGTCACCAGCGGAATTGGTGGTGCTGTAGAAGGATACGACTTCGGTAGCAGTAGATGATCCTGATACTACTTCGGTTGTGTAAGCAGCTGGAGCTGATAGAGGACCTAGGGTGTAGGTGGTAGAAACCAGAACTTCGTCACCAGCGGAATTGGTGGTGCTGTAGAAGGATACCACTTCTGTAGCAGTAGATGATCCTGATACTACTTCGGTTGTGTAAACAGCTGGAACTAATAGAGGACCTAGGGTGTAGGTGGTAGAAACCACAACTTCGTCACCAGCGGAATTGGTGGTACTGTAGAAGGATACGACTTCTGTAGCAGTAGATGATCCTGATACTACTTCGGTTGTGTAAACAGCTGGAACTGATAGAGGATCTAGGGTGTAGGTGGTAGAAACCAGAACTTCGTCACCAGCGGAATTGGTGGTGCTGTAGAAGGAAACGACTTCGGTAACGGTAGATGATCCTGATACTACTTCGGTTGTGTAAACAGCTGGAACTGATAGAGGACCTAGGGTGTAGGTGGTAGAAGCCACAACTTCGTCACCAGCGGAATTGGTGGTGCTGTAGAAGGAAACGACTTCTGTAGCAGTAGATGATCCTGATACTACTTCGGTTGTGTAAACAGCTGGAACTGATAGAGGACCTAGGGTGTAGGTGGTAGAAGCCACAACTTCGTCACCAGCGGAATTGGTGGTGCTGTAGAAGGAAACGACTTCTGTAGCAGTAGATGATCCTGATACTACTTCGGTTGTGTAAACAGCTGGAACTGATAGAGGACCTAGGGTGTAGGTGGTAGAAACCAGAACTTCGTCACCAGCGGAATTGGTGGTGCTGTAGAAGGAAACGACTTCTGTAGCAGTAGATGATCCTGATACTACTTCGGTTGTGTAAACAGCTGGAACTGATAGAGGATCTAGGGTGTAGGTGGTAGAAACCAGAACTTCGTCACCAGCGGAATTGGTGGTGCTGTAGAAGGAAACGACTTCTGTAGCAGTAGATGATCCTGATACTACTTCGGTTGTGTAAACAGCTGGAACTGATAGAGGACCTAGGGTGTAGGTGGTAGAAGCCACAACTTCGTCACCAGCGGAATTGGTGGTGCTGTAGAAGGATACGACTTCTGTAGCAGTAGATGATCCTGATACTACTTCGGTTGTGTAAACAGCTGGAACTGATAGAGGACCTAGGGTGTAGGTGGTAGAAACCACAACTTCGTCACCAGCGGAATTGGTGGTACTGTAGAAGGATACGACTTCTGTAGCAGTAGATGATCCTGATACTACTTCGGTTGTGTAAACAGCTGGAACTGATAGAGGATCTAGGGTGTAGGTGGTAGAAACCAGAACTTCGTCACCAGCGGAATTGGTGGTGCTGTAGAAGGAAACGACTTCGGTAACGGTAGATGATCCTGATACTACTTCGGTTGTGTAAACAGCTGGAACTGATAGAGGATCTAGGGTGTAGGTGGTAGAAACCAGAACTTCGTCACCAGCGGAATTGGTGGTGCTGTAGAAGGAAACGACTTCGGTAACGGTAGATGATCCTGATACTACTTCGGTTGTGTAAACAGCTGGAACTGATAGAGGACCTAGGGTGTAGGTGGTAGAAGCCACAACTTCGTCACCAGCGGAATTGGTGGTGCTGTAGAAGGAAACGACTTCTGTAGCAGTAGATGATCCTGATACTACTTCGGTTGTGTAAACAGCTGGAACTGATAGAGGACCTAGGGTGTAGGTGGTAGAAGCCACAACTTCGTCACCAGCGGAATTGGTGGTGCTGTAGAAGGATACGACTTCTGTAGCAGTAGATGATCCTGATACTACTTCGGTTGTGTAAACAGCTGGAACTGATAGAGGACCTAGGGTGTAGGTGGTAGAAGCCAGAACTTCGTCACCAGCGGAATTGGTGGTGCTGTAGAAGGAAACGACTTCTGTAGCAGTAGATGATCCTGATACTACTTCGGTTGTGTAAACAGCTGGAACTGATAGAGGACCTAGGGTGTAAGTGGTAGAAGCCACAACTTCGTCACCAGCGGAATTGGTGGTGCTGTAGAAGGAAACGACTTCTGTAGCAGTAGATGATCCTGATACTACTTCGGTTGTGTAAACAGCTGGAACTGATAGAGGACCTAGGGTGTAGGTGGTAGAAGCCACAACTTCGTCACCAGCGGAATTGGTGGTGCTGTAGAAGGATACCACTTCTGTAGCAGTAGATGATCCTGATACTACTTCGGTTGTGTAAACAGCTGGAACTAATAGAGGACCTAGGGTGTAGGTGGTAGAAACCACAACTTCGTCACCAGCGGAATTGGTGGTACTGTAGAAGGATACGACTTCTGTAGCAGTAGATGATCCTGATACTACTTCGGTTGTGTAAACAGCTGGAACTGATAGAGGATCTAGGGTGTAGGTGGTAGAAACCAGAACTTCGTCACCAGCGGAATTGGTGGTGCTGTAGAAGGAAACGACTTCGGTAACGGTAGATGATCCTGATACTACTTCGGTTGTGTAAACAGCTGGAACTGATAGAGGACCTAGGGTGTAGGTGGTAGAAGCCACAACTTCGTCACCAGCGGAATTGGTGGTGCTGTAGAAGGAAACGACTTCTGTAGCAGTAGATGATCCTGATACTACTTCGGTTGTGTAAACAGCTGGAACTGATAGAGGACCTAGGGTGTAGGTGGTAGAAGCCACAACTTCGTCACCAGCGGAATTGGTGGTGCTGTAGAAGGAAACGACTTCTGTAGCAGTAGATGATCCTGATACTACTTCGGTTGTGTAAACAGCTGGAACTGATAGAGGATCTAGGGTGTAGGTGGTAGAAACCAGAACTTCGTCACCAGCGGAATTGGTGGTGCTGTAGAAGGAAACGACTTCTGTAGCAGTAGATGATCCTGATACTACTTCGGTTGTGTAAACAGCTGGAACTGATAGAGGACCTAGGGTGTAGGTGGTAGAAACCAGAACTTCGTCACCAGCGGAATTGGTGGTGCTGTAGAAGGAAACGACTTCTGTAGCAGTAGATGATCCTGATACTACTTCGGTTGTGTAAACAGCTGGAACTGATAGAGGATCTAGGGTGTAGGTGGTAGAAACCAGAACTTCGTCACCAGCGGAATTGGTGGTGCTGTAGAAGGAAACGACTTCTGTAGCAGTAGATGATCCTGATACTACTTCGGTTGTGTAAACAGCTGGAACTGATAGAGGACCTAGGGTGTAGGTGGTAGAAGCCACAACTTCGTCACCAGCGGAATTGGTGGTGCTGTAGAAGGATACGACTTCTGTAGCAGTAGATGATCCTGATACTACTTCGGTTGTGTAAACAGCTGGAACTGATAGAGGACCTAGGGTGTAGGTGGTAGAAACCACAACTTCGTCACCAGCGGAATTGGTGGTACTGTAGAAGGATACGACTTCTGTAGCAGTAGATGATCCTGATACTACTTCGGTTGTGTAAACAGCTGGAACTGATAGAGGATCTAGGGTGTAGGTGTA